AAAAGCAGCGCCTCCCAAGGCAATGCATAGAATCCTCCCTCTGCCCACCTAATCCACACTGAAATTTGTCCATCCTGACGTGGGGCAGGGACGGACCTGGCCATGAATGTCACAGGCAGGGTCTCGGACCTGGGCTGTGTGAGGTAGAAGAAAGATGGTCAGGACAACCTCACGCTACACATGTGATTTGCTCTGTCCAGATCCCCTTCCTGTGGCTCCTCTTCCATCTCTTTAGCTGGCCCACTTCTGCCCTGCTTCAGTACACTGGGTCCTGAGCATTCTTTGATTGACATAATTGAGCTTCAGATGTGACTCACAGCACCTCCCCTACCCCTGGATGGGGAGCTCCTCCCAGATATGTACCTGTGTTGTCCCAGGACCTAGCACAATGCATATACAAGCTTGGTGATTGAATTCAAACTGTGTCTCACCAGGCACCAGTGGTTCACACCTGTAATCTTAGCTACTAAGGAAGCTGAGATCTTGAGGACAGAGGCAATAAAGTCTATGAGACTCTTGACTCCAATAGCCACCAAAAAAAAAAAGCCAGATGTGGAGCTGTGCCTCTGGGTAGAGCACCAGCCTTGAATGAGAAAGCCAAGGAACAGGCCAGGCCCTGCATTCAGTACCAGCACAAAACCAAGTGAACAACAAATGGTGCCTCCTATCTATTGGCCTGCAAAAGTAGGGAATCTAAATCTCCACTGGAAAGAGGGAGAGCTGGGTTCTCTCTAGTGGAGTGGTTTTGTTAATGGTCTTTAGCAAGGATAAGAGAACCCAGAGCTGAAGCCAAGGATGAATGTGGTACTACAGAAGTTGGCCCTGTAGAAATGAAGGTTACTGTGTACAGGCAGGACAGAATGACATTCTATTGAGGTGGACAGAACCAACGACAGTGAATTAGTGCAAACCTTTGAAAGTTTTTTTTTAAAGTTCTGCGTGGTAGAAGCAATCTCCCTTGTTTCCTCCCTTCATTCCACCCCCACAGAGAAAAATCCACATACGGAACTGGAAGGCCAAACTGGGAATATACTCAAACCCCACAGAGCAAGCTGAATAATACGACAGAGCATCTGGGAGTAGAGCTGTCATTTGGAAAATAAAAATGTCTCCCACTTTGCGACACAAGACTGGATGATGAGTACATGGGGAAAACTATGAGCCAGCAGTTTACAACAAAGCTGGTCGGCAGCCAGGTTGTTGATCTGGAGGGTCATGTTCCAAAGGGGCGATGCCCTTCCTCAAGCCAGGCTGGTACTCAGAGGAGCTATTTCAGGCTGGGAGGATTAAGGTCAGATGGACCATGACGAATGTACACACACACACACACACACACACACACACACACACACACACACACACACACACACACACCTCAATTCTTCCTTATACCCCTCTTTCCGTCCTTATACTGGCTCCTGAGACCTTCTTGGAATAAAAGTCTCTCATCCCAGGTCCTTGGTACCCCAGGGTCTCCTTCCTGGATGAGATCAAGCCACCTCTAGCCCCACTTAGTGAGATGGAGGATGGCGTCAGCATAGGACACTTCCTACTTATTTTCTTTTCCAAGTTCACACTTAGATCTCCCATTCACGTTTTCTTCTTCCTTTGGCTGCCATTCATCTTCCCATTCTTTCTGTCCCTGTGTTCTCAGTGATTATCTTCCTTTGCCTTGGTCTGTCTCATTCCATCTCTTTCTCCTTGTTACCCTTTATCGATAATACTTTAGCTTCTACGCCCTGAATGTTAATCCTCTATTTTTGCCTTCCTCTCCTTTTCCCTTCCTTTTATTTCCCTTCCCTTCCTTTCTTTTCTTTTCCTTCCATTCCCTTTCTTTCCTCCAATTATTTTTCCTCTTTTGGTCTTCTCTTGTCTGTCTGCCTGTCTATCTGTCTCTCTTATCGCAGTACTTCTTTCAACCAGAAGCTTGTAGCCACTGATGAACCACAAGACCCTTTGGGCACAGCTGGAATCTTGAGGGAAAGGAATAGGTCTACTTTACAAGAATATTAGCAAGCAGAAGGCTGGGCAGCTGCCTTTTATTTTTCAGATCTGAAATAAAGTAATTCGATGATTTCCAATAGAAAACGTCTTGTCCACTCGAAAAAAAAAAGGTGTTATTCAGGAGAGACAAGTGATTGGAGTGAAGGATCTCCTCTCAAGTCACGTGGGATGTTGCACCAGTGGCCTGCCATTAGTTGAGAGAAAACAAGGCCTGTTTTTGAGGTCGTGGGGTTTGAACTCAGGGCCTGATGCTTGCTAGGCAGGTACTCTATCACTTGAGCTATGTCCCTAGGTCTGAAAGATCCATTCTGGACAGGGGGTGGGGATGGGGTTCCATGGGTGCCCAGACTTGGAAGTGATTTGACAGGGAAGACAGGTATGGACAGTGAAGGTATCTCTTGAACAGATGGGCCTGGAGGAATGATCGTGACCCCTTCACTAATCTCACTGGCCCAGGAAGGAAGGCTGAGAGCAGCTAGAAGGAGGCCTTGAATGTCAGGTAGGGAGGGGTAAAAGCTTGGGGTCTTTGAACAGAATGACCTGCACAGGGCTTCAGGAGGAAGCTTCAGCCAGCCGCAGGAGCTGAAGAGGCCAGTGGGTGTGGGTGGAGCGGGGGCTGAGGGAGGGCTAGAGAAGACAGGAGGCGGGTCAGGAAGCTGCTGTAGCGGCCCACCTGCAATTACCTTATTTACCTACTGAAGCCTGAATGGAAGAGGCAAGGAAGGGGTGGCAGTCAGAGGAAATGAGGGGGAGAGTTTGGATAATACTAAATAGGTGTCCTTTCATCTCTTTTTCAGTGTTTTTTTTGTCTTTACCCAGTTGTCTGAGTTCCCCTTTGCCCGTGGCTCAGAAGCTTTTCTGCTGGGAATACCCTAGGGCCTGACCCCCATGGCTGGCAGGGATGGGAATCAAAAAGTTCTTCCTGCTTTCCTCAAAGCTCAAAGGCCCCTGAATGCTGACATTCTCCCGGGAGAGCTGGCTTTCCCACTGCATCAGTTCTGGAGACCTTGAGCCTCTAGAGCCTACATTACCTTTCTCTGCACAGCCTTGCTCCTTCAGTAACCCTGCTTCCCACAGTCTCACTGATCAGCCTCAGACCCTCAGCTCTGAGGAGCCACGGTGGCTGGGAAAGCCATCTGCCCCTCCTTCCTTCCCTCCTGCTACCTTGGTGCATTCCCAACTCCAGAGCTCTAGGTAGTCAGAGAGCCCAGGAGTGGGAAATCCGGTGCCTCTCTAAGGACCTGATTATTTCCAAAGACTTGTGCTAATTTTCTGATATGATCCTCACATCTCTGGGAGGCACTAAATCCTCATTACTTTTCCTGACCGATGCATTCTAATTAGATCAACACTTAAAAAAAAATTCACAATAGCCACAGGATGGCTTTCCATCTCATTAACTCCTTACTTATTATTTTCATGAAAATTACTGATAAAAATGTGCATCTCCATTTGGTGAGGCCTCACAGCCTCCTCAGCTCCTATCTTCCATCTCTCCCGTCACCAGGGCTGCGCAGCGTCACCATGGTAACCCACAATAATAGAAACTAATAAATTACAAACGAGATGCTCGTTGAGCAATTATTGTCCTCTTTTATGCAAGTTTCTTGCTAATTTTGATCATAAGGGAAAGTACAATAAGACTCTGAAGGAATGAGTCTATTTCAAGAGAATATTAGCAAGCAGAAGCCTGGGCTGCTGTTTTTAGATCTGTAATAAAGTGACTTGGTGATTTCGAGCACTAGAATGAAGAAATAAACTTCTTGCCCAGTGTCCTGTGAGGTATGCACTCTCCAGTCCCACAGAGAGGGCCACCAGGGTGGGTTTGGTGTGATATTGAAGGGATCTCTGGAGATTCACGCTGTCACAATGTGCAAGGCACAGCTGGCCATGTCCAGGTTAGCCTGTCCCTCTCCCTGCCCTCAACCAATCTCCAGGTCCTAGCAGGGTAGAGCTAAAAGTGGCACACCTCCTAGGCATCCTTTCTAACCATCCATTCTTATAGTTTACCTGTATCCCACAGTGTGCTGCCTAACAAGCAGGCCACTGTGAGCTTTCCAGGGGTCTTCGTGTGAATTGTTTGGACTCAGGAGCTCAGTGAGAAGGGATGAAAATGGTAACCCTACGGTTTACATAGATACCAGTGAGTGTGGGAATAATAATTGGGTAGCTTTCTCAGTTGGTAGACTCTGGGAAGACATTCTGTCCTAGAGAGGAGTTCCATTCTTTTCCATGTGCCGCAGATACCATCTCCTCCCTTCTCAGTTTGGAGGGTGAAGATAGCATTTGAAAAGGATGCATGTTGGAAGGTGTGTGTGTGTGTGTGTGTGTGTGTGTGTGTGGTGGGGGAAGGAGGGGAGCTGACATGCCATTTGCAGTGGCCCTGAAACTTGGCAGGCCAGAAGTGCAGAACTACTCCAGTGGCAGGGTAAGAAACTGGAGAACCATCAGGGAGAAAAGTCTTCTGGATGCTATCTCCATCTGTTAGGTGGGCAGGATTTGGACAAGGACCACTTTCCCTAAAGCCTCCTTCTCAGGAATTCAGAGTTCACAATTCAAGCCCTTGAGAGAAGCCAGGAGGATGAATCTTATCCTCAGCTCCTCCTCTAGGCAGCTTTCCATATTCTTAACCATGAGATCATTCGCTTTGTTGGGAAACCTTGGGCTGGGAAGTCAGGTATATCTTTCGACATTCTCCCCTCTGATATCATTTCTATAATTTTTCAGTCCTAGAGAAGGCTGATGCCTCTGGAATTGGTGGTGGGATCTGTAGATGGAAAGGACTGTACTAGCCAGGTATAGTGGTGCATACCTATAATCCCAGCCTTACCCAGGCTGAGGCAGGAGAAATGCGAGTTGCAGGCCAGTTTGGGACTAATAAAGGAATCATGAATTAATTAATAGTAAGAGTGGGTCATGGAGAAAGGATCCAGTGAGTTGAATCGCCTTGGTCACACTCCTGGCTTAGAACATAGAACGGAAACTGTATGTATTACCTGTGAGTGAAGGTTTATGGAGGGCTGGTTGGGGGAGTAGGGCCCCCCAAGGTCATTCCTGAGCAGGTTATCACTGTGCATCTTGGTTTTGAGGCAGGTGATATAACGGTTGCAAAAGTCCTTGCAGAGTTCATTGACTTTCTCCAACTCCAGCAGGTGGATCCTCAGGACCTGGATTGCCTTCACCATCTGGGGAGAGGGAGGAGCAGTCAACCCAGGTGTCCACATCTCACTTCCCCTCCCCGCCGGGACCCCTTGATCACAACCACAGCAAAGACAGAGGAGTCGCTATCCTGCATCCTGCTTGTGCTTTCTCATCCACATGATTTAAATTCTCCTTACGGCCTCTTTGCTGATTATTCGCTTGCTTTGAGCCCATGGTTATCACAGCTGTTTCTGAAGCAATTGTGCCATCGTGAGAACAGCGTTGAACTTAAGAGATAGAAGGCCAGGTCCCAAGCTTCTGGCCTCCAATTTACTATCTGAGTGACCTTGGGCGATTTGCTTAAGCTCTCTGTACCTTAGTGTCTGACAAATGGGGATAATTACACCCTCCCTGACGACTTTACAGGTTCTTTGAGGGGATCAGAGGAGGGGGTGTCCACGATGGCTCACTCTAACGTGTGAAGTACTGAGCAAGCAGAAGGAAGATTGCGATCAGAGTTTCTTGTAAGTACCTCAGAGGTCAGGGACTGTCTGTTCTTAAACTTGTATTCTAAGCGCTTCATGTGATGTGGGCTGCCTGGTGGACACTCCATTGATACTTGCTGACGGACTGAATAATCCAGTATGCTTTAGCAGGCACCAGATACCACGGTGTGCTTTCTGTGTCCTTTGGATTGGTGCGGCTGGGCCTCTGCCTCTTTGTGGGGACCTTCTTAACCCTAACATGGCAACAAGTGACTTTGGCATTGATGTTTGCACTTTGTTACTATCATGAAAAGAAAATAGGATGGGAAGGTACAGGAAGCAGAGGGTTAAAAAAGAAAGCAAAACAAGAATCCTATGAAGGATTTCTATATGTATAGAATTTAACTTCCTCCCTCCTTCCCTCCCTTCCTTCCTTCCTTCCTTCATTTCTTCCTTCCTGCCTTCCTGCCTTTCCTCCTTCTTCAGTATTGGAGATTGAGCTCAGGGACCTTATGTTTTGATTCACAGCTCTTAGTTTTAATTTAACCTACTTTCAATAATCTTGTTATTATACTTCGGTTTCCTGATTTTTTTTTTTCTTAGCTGACCAAATGGAGTTTTCTAATGTCAGAATTGTTTTCTTTATTGTCTTTCTTGGTCTGGGAGCTTTGCCAAGGCAGAGATGGCATCTAATTTGGCCACCATGTTATCTCTACTACTAATAAATTATTTGTTGAATGGGTGAAAATTAGTAATTTTTTTGAGGTGATACATATTATTCCATGTGTATGTCTTATTTACCCAGTTATCTGTTGTTGGGCATTTAGATGATATCCAATTTTTCAGTTTTCAAAATCAGTTACAGAGAGGTTGAGGTTGAATTCAGTCGTAGAACATTTGGTTAGTATGCATGGGCCCCGGGTTCAATCTCCAGTACCACACAAGAAAAGATTACACCAAACATTTTCTACGTGTGAAGTCCTCCTCTGCCCTGGGTTCCATATTATTTCCTTAGGATAAATTCCCAGTGGTGACAGGGAGAAAATCTCTAAACATCCTTTTAGAGCATGATAAAGCCCAATTGCTTTTTAACAGGGGTTTGTTTGTTCAAGTGGTAATGAAGAATTAGATATCTATAAACAAAAACAAAACAAAAGCAAACAAATCAAGTTAAATTTCACATCTTCTACAAAAAGTTACCCAAAATGAATCCGAGACCTAGATATAAGAAATAAAAAGATAATCCTTTTAGAAGAAAAAAATGGAAAAAAAGAAAATCCTCAGAAACTATGGTTCAACAAAGAAGTCTTAGACCTGACATGAAAATCACGATTTAGGAATGGAAAACATCTTACTCTTCAAAATTAAAAAGGTTTGCTCTTCAAAAGATCCCGTGAAAAGCCCGGTACCAGTGGCTCATGCCTGCAAACCAAACTACTCAAGAAGCTAAGAGCTGAAGATCACAGTTCAAAGCCAGTCCAGGGAAGGAAAGTCCGTGAAACTTTGATCTCCAGTTAGCCAGGAAAAAGCCAGAAATGGAGCTGTGGCTTAAGTGGTGAGTGCCAGTTTTGAGTGAAAAGGCTAAGGGACAGCGCCCAGGTCCAGAGTTCAAGCCTCAGTACCAGCAGCAAAACAAAACAAAACCCTGTGAAGAGAATGAAAAGACTATGGATTGGGATAGAATTTTGACAAACCACATACTTGACAAAAGACCTGTATTTAGAAGATATAAAGAACTCCCAAAACTAAACAGCAAAATAACGAGCAACTTAATTAGAACAAGGGCAAAAGACAGGATCAGACATTTTATTGAGGAGATGTACAGATGGTAAATAAGCTCGTGAAAAGATGTTCAATGTCATCAGCCATTAGAGAAATGCAAATTAAAACCACAATGAGATATCACGGTGTACCCCAAAGTATAGTTACAACAAAAAATAATGCTAACCCCCACATGCTGGAGAGGAACTAGAATCTAGGTCACTCATACACTGCTGGTGGGGATGAAAAGTGGTACAACGCCCATGGAAAACAGTATGGCAATTTCTTACAAAATTAAGCATATGCATACCACGTGACACAGCCATTGCATTCTTGTACACTTATCCCAGAGAAATAAAAATGGACACCCAATAAAAATGTCCATTTATTCACCAAATACCCATATGTGAATGTTCAAAGTAGCTTTATGTCTAATAGCCCCACACTAGAAATAACCCACATTCCATACCATGGAATACAATTTTTTTTAAAAGGCATGAACCAGTGATACATTCAACAGTGTGGATGTATCACAAGGCAGTTGAGCTGAGAGAACAAAAAAACAGTCTGAAAGAATCCTATAATAACTACACAATGCCATTTATATACCATTCTTGAAAGGACAGAAATGATAGAGACGGAGTCTAGTGACTGACCGGAGGCACAGTGGAGGAGGGAGGGAGGAAGGAACTCTGTACCCTGACTGTGACAATGTCTGCGTGTCTAAATGTGATCAGCTTGCATAGAATCCAGCACACCTAGGTATACACACACGTGTGTGTGTAAAACAGGCAAATTTGAATAAAGTTGATAGCCTATTCCTTTAAAAAAATATTTTAAGTAGTTGTTCAAAGGGGTTTCAACTCAACATGTCAGTTTACGAGTGTGATGCATCTTGACCAATGTCAACTCTTGGTAGGCCATTCCTGTTGGTGAAATTGTGCAACAGTGATGCATGGAGAGACGCATGATCCCTCCTTATGAATTCTTACAACTGCATGTGAATTCATAATTATATCAGAATTAAAGATAAAAAGATGTGGAGGAAGCCTTATTGCTTTTCTATATTTAGTTATGTTGACTCAGGTAATACATGGGGGTCTTTGTTTAATCCCACTCTCCCAGCATTTGTTAGCATCTTGATGCCTGTGAAAGAGCTCAGACAGTATTAAAAAAAGAAGGAAGGAAGGAAATCTCTCCCCGAGAATTTTGGCTGTGCGGTGCGTATAGGGCCATGTGGCTACAGGCAGGAGGAGTCTTGCCCTTCTCTGAGTCTCGTTGACATTTCAAGTTGAGAGCCCATATTCCCTAGGCTGGGTTTGTGGGCAAGGACTGAGCTCCATTAATTAAGGGGTTTTGGAGTATTAAATTAGGCTAATTGTGGAAGTGGAGGTGTGCCTCAAAGTGATAGCACACCAGCCTTGAATGAAAAAGCCAAGTGAGAGCGTGAGACCCTGAGTCCAAGCCCCAGTATGGCACAGAAAGCTGGACTCATTGTTACTCATAAAAAGAAACTTCAGAATTGTAGGACTTCATACAGAGCTCAGCTACCAAGTCTCATCCTGTGGAGAGACAGAGAGAATGGATGGTTCTAGGTAAGGGGAGAATGGTGACATCAGTGTGGATCATTTGGAACAAAATGTGAAATTAAGTATTTAATAAAGAATTGCTCTTGTTTAAATTTTTGCCTTGATTTTCGTCATAAAGATTTTGGCTTATACCTCTCTGAATAGTGTAAGGTGCTTAATAGATACTTGTTGATGGAGCAATAGCAGTGCGTAACATTTTGTGATGGATTGGCAGGTCAAGCCATTCCGTGTCTCACCCTATTTATTCCAGACAACCACCTTTGCAGGTCAGTATCCTTATCGTTCATATTTGATATGTAAAGAAGCTAAAGTTCAGAGATACTGAGTTTTTCTTCATTAAAAGTCACATGGCTGGGAGGTGGTAGGAAAGCACATTACTATATACCCACGCCAGACTCCAAGGATTCATGTAGACAGAGAAAATGTTGAGGTAAAGGGTGGATGAGTTGGGAGAGAGGGAGGAGCTCAGTGTCAGGGAGTGTAGGGTTCTAGCAAACCAAATAGCTTTGCGACATTAAAGTTTTTTTCCAGTGCTGGTGATCCAACCCAAGGCCCTTTGAAAGCGCTGTTAAACAGTATCTCCAGCCCTTCTGTGCTGCATTTTTAATCAATATTCTATTGATTCATTTATTTTAAAATCTTCTTGTGAAGTAATACACCCTCATACACAAATATATTCAAATATATTCACACAGAGAAAGTGAACAAACAGCCCTGTATGCTTATTTCAAGTGCACAGCCAATACTTCCTGATTAGCAAAAATTAGAAAATTTAGATATGTGAAATAAAAAGTAAAATATACCCAGAATGCTTTGCTTAAGTGCAAAACATGCGCAGTGTGTTGAAATTAGACCTTGTGTGCAGTGGTCAAAGTGGACCTATCTTGGGTCTGACAAAGTACAGCTGAAGGATTAGTTTTTTATGGGCTAATAGAATTGGTTTAAAGATTTAATAAGGTAGAGTAAATCATAATGGTACTCTGAGGCAATGAATATGTACGACCTCTTCAATATTAGAGAAAAAGATGGGTAATATCATTCAATTGTGTGTGTGGGGTATACTGCTTCTCTAGCAGAAAGCCTGTGGGGCTTACTGCCAGACAGGCTAGTTGTGAAGCCAGGCCCACTGTGTGCTCTTTGGGTGCCAATAGGCAAATTCTATTATTTCTCAGCCTCCGTCTCTTCGTTTGTAAAGTGGGGGTGGTAAAT